CACACACACACACACACACACACACACACACACACACACACTGTTCTAATCTCCTTCGCTAGTCCGAACACAGGAGAGCCAGAGCGAGGCCTGAAACTGAGCCAAGAATTTCACATCTAACCCTACGAGACAAAACCCATTAAAACCACCACCGCTTCCTCGCTGTGTTGGAAACAAATCTGTGGCTTACCTTAATTTTTTTGATTCCTCCTTGATTTCCTCTGAAAGACAAAGAAAAAAAAAAGAAAAAAAGTGTAAGAGGCTACTAAGGAAAACACTTTCATTGGGAGGTCTGTCTGCAGCCAGTTTTACTGCTCATTACAATTTGTTTTTAAAGTACCAGCTGCCACTTCAACAAGTTCAGCTTTCAAAAGCTAATGTGATTAGCATCGTGTTTATCACAGGAAATATACACCAATCATTAAATAGAGCAATGTTACGACAATTTTAGTTAATATTTATACACAACTTTTTCGGGTTTTAGCAAAGTAAAAATAAAAAGGAAAACTAATGTGAAACATATTTTAAATAACATGTTTCTACAGGATGGTAACTTTGCTGTGTCAAAGCTRAACATGAAACGTCAAAGTTAATTTCAACTGGCCCTTCGTGGGCCACCATAACGCTCATGTGGCCCTCGGTGAAAATGAGTTTAACACCCCTGAGAAGATTAATATTTACGCTATTTGTAGCTTTTCAATGACAGATAAAGGTGTTTTGTGAGACCTTGGGAGAAAATGTAGAAGTGTTTGTAACATTGTTTTTACAAACGTTTAAATTTTCAGTTTAATTATAAAGGAAAAATTTTTTGTTGTTTATTTAATTTAGAGGGAAATCAGAATGGGTAAAAATCTGAATCGCCAAGGTAGATGCAGTCGGTGCACCTTTAATTATTTTTATTTGAATTTGTGGGGCTTTATTGTTTTGTTTATGCTGCAACAGCAAGCAGAAAGGAGCCTTGTTAATATGTTGCCTTGGCTGTAGTGCCAAAAACATAATCATTATTCACTCTGCAACGAGTCTGCGAGCCAGGCCGATGTGTGTTTACTTCACAGACCTCAAGACATGAAAGCAACTGTACGAAATTACTGAAAATTGACAAGAGCATAAAAAGAAAAGGACACGTGCAGAGGGGAGGATRAGAATGAAAGGAAGGGACAAAAATAGAGCCAGGAAAAAAGAAAGAAATAAAAAAGGAAGAAGAAGAGGCCTATTGGTACGAGACATTAAAGGAGGCCTTGAATGATGAAGTGTTTAAAAGCACAGTTACAATTGGCAGCGTCCTCACAGAACTGCACCTGCCCACGGTTGTTGGGGAAAAACCACAGTCATGCTCAATCATTTCACTGCTGCAAGGCTGAGAGTCTTTTTCAAAAGAAATCCATTTGGAGAGAATATCTCGCGCCTAATGCTCAGTGGAAATAAATTAAGGCAGGTATAAAAAAACATTTTACTGTGCCACTCAGGACTGAAACAGAATGGCAGATGTGAAGGGTTGTTTTGGATTCAAAAATGTCTGTCTGCAGAACAGAATCTGATACGAGATCCGAGCAAGTATCAGGTTGTCAACAGAGACAGACTGAAGAGGATTTTGGCTCCTTGGCTCTGCTTATCTATTATTCAGCTGTAACGCAACAATACCAAGCAAGAAAGGAAAGAAAACAAAAYAGAGAGAGAACATTTGAATCTGAAWGAACGTCTTCCTCTGAAGCTGTAATTGAGTTGATCTTTATGAGGCTAAATGGAAACAAACTAGAAAGGAGAGACGAGAATCAGATACACGTGGATACAGATGCAGATGTGCAGAAAAACAGGCACCGCTAATTACTCTTTGTCTTGTTTTACCAGTTTTAAAGCAAATTATATTATTCTCAAAGTCAGATAGTCGGGTACTGTGACACGTGGCCGTGTTGTAGAAGGAGGCCGACATATTGGTTTGCGAAAAATAGTAGTTCCTTTGAGAGGGAAAATGGGAATTAAAAAAATAAAATTAAAAAATCGCCTCGTTGTTTTGATTCAGTCACACTAAACCTGACCAAACTAAAGACTAAACACACTAAACTAGTCTAATTATAAAATCCAAACACGATAAATATTATAAATATCAGTCCCGCTCTCGCCGTCTCTCCATTGCCGCCAAAACTTCATTCAACATTTGGGCTTTTTTATATTGTTCCTATAAATTTTTCGGCGCTTGACAAATAACTTTGATCCTCAATCAAAATGAAGG